TATTTTATGAGAGGGTCTGGGGGTGACTAAGAGTGGCAAGTGAGGCGTGTTCGTCAGTTTGTGTGTGTGTATGTATGAAAAAGTGGAGCTTTAAAATGTTCTCAGGCTAATTATCCTCGTTATTAAGAATCTACTCTGTCGTTTACAGGACCGTGCGATAGTTTATCCGCGACTAATGGATGTGAACTTAAGGGACTGGGGGAAAAGGTATAACAAGTCACTCAGTTTGAGCAAGATTGATTATGCCTATAGCGCCTGCCTCTCCTTCGGCGGCTGTGTTTGCTACGATTAGCAGACAGAAACACACCCACATTCACTCGGCGGTTGGCTTGATTGACGAATCTGCCTCAAAGTCTGCACAGGTAACTTCTGAATTTGATGCTGAGCGGCGCGATGTTTTCAACTTCATCCCTCCGGTCGGAAGAAAAGTGAAACAAACCCCCAGCTGCCCGTAGTGGAGGCATAGGAGAGCACGCTTACAACCGAGGTATGGGTGGGCAGGAATGCAAGTCGATTGGTCATAAACCGGCGGGCAGGGATTCACACACCCGGCATATACGTGTGTATGTGTTGGTGTGTGGGTAAAAATCGAATAAATGATGGGATGGAGAGAGCCAGACCGAGATTTTTCTGGTTGGCTTCTCTTTATTCCAGCTTTAATGACCTAATTACCAGTACAATGGCCATTTAGTGCATAACTAACAAGTGATGGGCCAATCTAGAGCATCAGCTTTCCAAAGTATAGTAGACGATTATGATTTTGATAAAATTAGGTGAAGTATGTGAGTTTGATCGAAGAGTATATGAAAGGGCATCATGTGTACTAAGGGGGGCCGAGATAAATGTTGAGAATGAGACCTGAGGGAGAGCAGAAACTATGGAACAGAATAACGAATATTTAAATGTTTTGTTTGAAAAGTAGAAATGGGCACTCGATAATCCAACGGACAGACAAAGGTCTGACAGCAGAACGTGGCGTGGCGAACTCTTTTGCAGCTAATTTGTAACATGTGGATAATTTTAGACCTGCCGGACTAAAACTCATAGGCTCTGGAGAAAATGATGGTACATTGAAGTGAACTCGCAATTAAAGAACATCCTTGATAGTCAGATAGTCCTGTGAACAATACGAAATTATGTAATAAGAATAGGAGAAAATATTTCGTTCATGGCACTTGAAATTTTAAGAAAGTCTGATCGCAGATATACCCTCTATTTTGGTAGCAGTTTCCTTTCGCTGTATAGAAGTGGCTTGGCCATAGTCCTATTTATATGACTCAATAACTGATAGCCAAATTTGCCACACTTAATTGAATCGAATACCATTGAATTTCGCCCAGCCCTGACCCTCATCATTAGCCTCCGTAACAGCACCACTCCGAACGGAAGTCGGATCCGGATCACTCATATCCATT